AATCCATCGACATCTCACTGTTTTCTTGCCCCAAGAAAGATTAAAAATGTCCCAAGTATGGTTTCACTGAAGGGCATTCATCTACTCCATGACGACAGCTTTTCAGGCAGGGTCTGCTAAGACAACCTCAATAAGAGATGGAAATTGATGATTGGGTAGGGCCGTAAAAAAGGCCCTGCAGCTCGGCAATAATCTGCGAAAAGAAATATATTTTGTCGTAAGATAAAGAGAGCATGTCTGATTGCGTGTCTTACTAAAATAACTAACTTCTTGATTTGGAGTAGGACAGTGCTCGGTATGTCGTCCAAAGGGGATTCAGGTTTCAACAAGGGGTTAGCGAGCTCCAAAGTAAGTGCATCAGACCGAGTGCTTCGACTGTAGACACGAAGAGTGGGAGGATATGCTGGTGGGACCCAAGGGACAGAGGGCTCCTTAGTGGTAAGAGAAGTGGGTGGAACCAACAGAACATAGGGTTCCACGATGGTAGGTGACGTGGGGCGAACATTCACAAAATTAGGGTAAGGAACATTGTCGAGGAATTCTAGTCCCCCCTCATTGAAGGAGAAGTTAGAAAAGTAATGAACACTTTCAAAAAAGGAGACATCAACACTCACATAGACTTTATTTGTGGTAGGTTCAAGGCATCGATACCTCTTTTGAGTGGCAGAGTATCCGAGAAAAACACACTTTATGGACCTAGGATCGAGCTTACTCGGAGTTGGGGTCGTGTTCCAAACAAAAGTTGTGCACCCAAAAATTTTGGGATCTAAAGTGTAGAAGACCCCATTATTAGGAAAGAGCGATCTCAAGACGGCTGAAGGGGTACGAAAATTTAGAATTTTTTAGGGAACTCTATTGATGAGAAAAGTGACGGCAAGAATAACTTCATTACAAAAACATTTTGAGACATTATATTGTAACATAATGGAGCAAGCAACATCGAGGAGATGTCAGTTTTTTCACTTGGCTACCCAATTTTGTTGAGAAATGACGGTACACAAGCTATGATGGATGATGCCCTTACCAAGAATTTTCCTAATATAGAGTTAAAAAATTCACGACCATTGTCAGTCCAAATAACTTAAATAAAAGTTTTGAATTGGGTCAAAATGAAGGTGTAGAAATTTTTGAAAATAACAGCAGCTTCATATTTATATTTTAAAATATAGACTCTCGTCATCCGAGTGTGGTTATCAATCAAATTAAGAAACCACCGTTTATTGGTGTAGGTGGGAGTGCGAAAGGGTCCCCTTAAGTCACTTTGAATAAGAGAAAGAAACGGAAGGTGTATAATTGTGAGGTGGATAAGAAACATGATGATGTTTAGCTAACTAACAGATTTCACATTTGAAATTAGAAGGATTTTTATTAGTAAACATCAATGGATAATCGTTTTAGATATTTAAAAAACTAGGATGACCCAAAAGATAGTGTAACAACATAATAGGCATTCAATGGACTGAGATAAACTGCAACTACTGGGTAGAGTGCCCTTGTTCTCTGTGCTTCTCTCTTGGAATAAGTAGAAACCGCCTACCCGCTTAGCAATTTCAATCATCCTTCCCGAACGACGATCTTGAAAAACACAAACATCAGAGAAAAATGAGCACGCAATCAATGTCATATGTCATCTTACTAGTAGATAAACAGTTACACTTCAACAAAAGTATAAATAACACCGATTTCAGAGTTAAACCTATTGTCAAAACAACAAACCATTTACCAACAATGAAACTTTGAGACCCAACAGCAATTTTAAAAGTAACTTTCCATGAGCAAGAATAGTACATTGAGAATGCTTGACAGCTTCCGGTCATGTTGTTCATGGCACCTGAATCAATAATCCATGGACTAGAAAGGGCAAAAGAAATGAGTTCCATAGGATTGGTACAATGACAAACGTGGGAGGTCGACAGAACGGAAGAGAGATCGTTGGATCCAAGCAGTTTGATTTAGTACTCTATTTAACTCTTAAGAGAATTGGAGGCTTTTGGATTATCTGGGTAAAGGTCGATTGTACTGTGTTGGATTCAGATATTGTAGCGAGACCCTTCGAAGCGAAGGATTTGGCTAAAGGTTTGGATGCACGTTTCCCATGGAGCTTCCAACATTTATCACAAGTGTGGTTGGGTTTGTGACAGTAATCATAGGTGGGGTGACTAGCCTGGGTTTGAGCACTATCAGACACCAAGGCGAATGCTTCGACAGACGGAGTGAAAGTACCAAACATGACATATCTCCGGCTCTTATCACAAAAAATCTCAGTGAAAGCAATTTGAGTAGAAAAAAAGGATCCTGGCCAAAGATACATCCCCGAACTTCGTCAAGATCTTTGTTGAGCTCTACCAGAATTCAGAACAAGCAGTTCTTTTCTATAATTTTCTAGAAAAGAGATAGGTTTGTCGGAGATCCCTAAGTGTAGTCATAACATAGGTCGCATTTTATCCATAATGCAACTAGATCATTGTAGTACTGGGTCACAATCTTGGATCCTTTTTGCCTCATGGATTTTCTTAGATGCTACGTAGAGTTAGCTGAAATTCCTTACATCCGAGTAGGTATCACGGATTACCATCCAAATGGTACTTGCGTAAGAAAGGAACATATATGATCAGCCAATTGAAGTCTCTATGGAGTAGATCATCCACATTGAAGGTGAAGAATTTCAAGCTAATAACTCATAATAAACAAGAATTAAGAATGGCTAAAATTACATACATGAAGTTTAATAGAAGTTATATAGTCCATTTTGATGAATGTATTCATGATTGAAATAAATATATTATATGATCTTGATCCACAGTGTATATTTTTGTGATGATGTAAGCAAGCTAATTTTCTACTCGCATGGTTCTGACTTGTAAGGTCACAATGGGCACTGGTAGGAATTATCTCTAACTGGATTGTCAACCTCTCTTATATCCCACGTAGAATTGAAAGAGATTAAAATGGGGCATGACAACAACCACCTTTCACAATCCTTCTTAATTTATCGGGGTTCATCCTACTTCTGCTCCTTTGGGAACTATGCCTCCAGTTACGCACCAACCTCATTTCTTGCAAGCATGTTTGGGTGATTAAATGTTTTTGGATTGCATTCTTCTTCATCCAACCATCTTATAATTTTTTTTTAAACAAGGCATAGCAGCACTTTGACAAAAGTACCCTTCCACATATCATGGTATGTTTGTGGTATGAACTAAGACGATTTTCCATAAACATTAGGACTAGACAAAATATTTTATTTCAATAACTCTAAACAACACACTCAAATGCATAAAAGATAAGCACCTGCAATTCTAGAGATAGGCGATCTCTCCCAACACCTACAATTCGAGAGGTAGGTGATTTCTCCCAAACCCTCAACCTATGACTCAATCCCATGCATCCCCTAACCCTAACCTATTAAGCTCCATTTATACCAAACAATAATGCACACAAAAGACTAAATTGGTTGTAGGTGCCAGTGCAACAGTTTACTCTCATCTTCACAAAAGTGTGTGCTTGCTAGGCCACTTTCCTTTTTAATAGTTGAAAAATTTTCGAAAGGTCAACCTATATTAGAGATAATTCACAAATTCAAGTCTGATTTACATTTGTTGAGCAGCAAATCTATTGGTTTCATTGATCTTCATACCACCATAAGACTACGTTCAAAAGCAGACAACACATGACTTTTGTCTTAATGCTTATACCATGTCAATGGCTATATGATGCATATGCTGAAATGATCGTCCCATTTTGACTCTTCCAAAGAAACTCCAATTACTTCTGTTTGAATTGCATTGCCGCTTCTTCGACTCTTACTTCAACAAATCCACTTTATACACCTTTTCTATATTTGAAAAATTATTGCAAGTGAATGATGAATGGTCAATCTTTCTAGAGCTTTTGTGACAAAAGTATTGTCGGAACTGGATGCTACTTTTCATTTCAAGAACGAGGAGTGGATTGGCTCCTAATCATTATGATATTGACATAGTCAAATTTGAAGGCATCCCATCCTATTACTTTTGAGAAACAATTCTCAAATTATTTCAAAGCACGTCCCGAGTTGAAGAAATTTAACTATGAGGCATAGAAGGAAGAACCAAATGTTCAAATTCAACCTGTTTACCACTTTGGTTGATGATACCCATTTATTAGATCAGATCTATACTTTGAATTTAGTACCAAATTTTAACTATGCTATGCAGCTAAAGCAAATTAGGCCACCCATGCTTGCCCTATGATGATGGGTATTTCATTTTATGCTGGTATTATCATTGAGATTGATCCTCTTGTCATCGAAACATTTCAACTCTATCCAAATTTTTACGATCATTGTTAGCAGCCATATGATTCGAATGTGATTATTCAAAATGGTAATACTTGTATTGATAGGAGGATGAGGTAAAATTAAATAAAAAATCTATCACCACAACCCTTTATTCAAAAAACTTCAAGCAAGTCAATGTCCAAAACAGTTTGTCTTTTGTAATTTTCATAATCCTGTGGAAGATGCATCCTTGATCATGATGTTATCTTTCTTCCTCTAGCATTTTTTTAATTGTATTTATTGTACTCAAATCATTTCATGGTTATTATATGATACTTTATAAATAATTAATTCATTAATTAAAAAAGCCAACCCAACTTAGATTACAATCCAGTTTCAAATTAAATAACCAGATAATAGAAATTGCTAGGTATGTCATCAGTTGCAGAATTTGTTTGGTTACTCGCCCGGTTAGATGGGAGCGTCTGAGCACTAAGCAGCATTTTGCAACTTAACGCCGACATATCTAAAGCATCCAGGACATCAGAAACGGCACAGATACATCCATAAAATTTCTCAGATTTAATGCTTACATAGACAGTTAAAAGAAAACAATAACGTTTGTGAGGGTTTACCTTGAAAAATAACATGATCAATGAGATTTCTCGAAAATAAAAGGGAAAAAAAATTTAGTTCTGAGAACAACTACGATACTTTAATATAAACAATGAAAATAGAGAACCTGAGAACAATCAAGATTTTTGTTGAAGGGAGAATATTGCATAATCTTCTTTGTAGAAGTGGGCAATTTCTCTCCAAATAAAACGGGAATCATTTCTATAGCTGGACCCTTATGCTTGCTGAGTTGAATCAAGGCATCCTTCATCCTGCTGTAGGTTACCTACATATAGTATAAAAATGTGCAAATAAATGCATTCATCCAGTCATACCGAGCATATATAAACAATTAACTCAGATTTTTAAATGTGAATAAAATGCTAATTATAAACTAAGCAGAGGTTCAATTCATGTAAAATATATCAAAAAATTAGAGCCTTGGCTTTGATGTACATATTGCTTGGTACCACATGTAGTTACTAATTGTGTTTGGACCAATCAGCAAATTAATAGTCTACAAGAAACAGTTCACCATCTCATAATAAAAGGAGGGCATGAGGTGGATAGAAGAGGAAAATGTTTAGATAAGAGAAAAAACAAGGTTCCCTGCCATGGCATAAACTAAAGGCCACATATTGCAATGTTGAATATCGCAAAATGAAGCTTATCTTTATGCCACAACTTCTTAAATGTCGAAATATACCCATATCCAAATTGCAACAGTTAAATTGGAGAAGATACGACTCACACGAGTAAATACTACTCCAATGAACAAACTTGAACAAGTGTAACGTAACATGCAGCAAAGGTCACTTAAATTTACACCATTTACTTCTTCATTAATTAATGACGTGATTTGCGTGTCAAGTCCACAAATTTAGAATAATCCATTAGAAAGACCATATTAAATAGCAACTTCATCAAGCTCAGAAATGAATAAACAAAAATTCTATTGAGAATTAAAACTGCGAACTTATGTTTGTTCGTGCATTGAGGAATTATTTTGTACAAGTATATTGAGAAATTATTTTGTACAGGCGGAAATAATATTGAGAGAGGTGCACGTTCTGTAACTAAAGCCAAATGATGTGCATGATTTATTCTTACTAAGTTAGGAAGTAATGCATTTCAATGATCATGTATGATGCATTAGCAAACTATAAAACAGAGCTTCAAAATAAAACAATATAAAATTAATGAATACCAATGAAAATAGTATGGTAAACTATTCATAAATATGAACGTTAGAATTAGTTAAAAAAAATTAATTTCTTTCAGGGAAATATGAACAAGTAGCATTACCTCATTAGCAACCTTCTCAAGACGCAAAGGGCTGTTCAATCCATCATCAGGAATTTCATCAAAAGCAACAGTAATAGAAGAATCCTGTTTATTTCAAAAGGTTCACCCCTTGAGAGCAAAAATGATGCACTGCTTGATACCCTGGGTCTTCCAGAGAAAATAATTTGAGGTATTTACATACATGGCACACAAATCTTGTGTATTACATATCCCACACCTAAACTTTCATAGTTACACACATAGCACTCAAATCTTCAATATCACATCAAAAATAGCACTGCTACCACTTCTTTAAAGTGAAATACAGCTTTTCATGCATAGGTTTAAAGCACCAAACGGCTGTGTGTGAATATGAAAGTATAGGAGTGAGATGACTAAATAGATAAGAACGTGAGCTACGTATGCCAATTTGCCAAATAATTTAAATCTAGCAGAACAATAGTAATACCTTCAAGCGATAAACTACACCCTGTCCAAGTGAAGAACAACCTTGATCAGCTTTGTTTGGTTTCAGAACAACCACATCATGAGTGGAAAACTGCATGTAAAATGGAAGCACGCGGAATTATATGAAGAATGTTATAAAGCAATAAGGAGAGACTCCAAATCCACACAAAGAATAAGACAATTGACAGTTATTAATCTCTTCAAACTTAGCAAGTGTAAAGGCCATGTAGATCAGAAGCCAGAAAATTGTGATTGTAACCTCTGAATGGCAACTAAGATACAAAGATACGTTCATGAACAAGGCTACGGCACTGTCTCACGTTTAGATACTTTAAGAATTTAGAGAAATATAAAATATAGTTTTAAAGTCAAGAAAATTAAGCATTATGTAATGTAACTTGAAAATCCAAAACAACTAAAATCTATCAATAAATCAAGAACAAGTAATGTTTATTATATTTGCAAAAAAAAATTCACCAATGGATTTTTCAATGCAAATATCATCCGTGCTAAAGGGGAAACTTTATAAAATGGTTATCTAACAATGATATACAAATTAGTCAAACAAAGATGGTAAAAACAGGGACGATTGAAAAGAACTAAGAAACAACCTTAACCTTTAATGATAAGCAAAAGAATAATTAAATTCTAAAAATTACAAAAGCAAACATTAATACCAACCGCATTGTGATGTAGCAAACATCTCAAATAACAGAAGAATTCTGAACTGTAATTTCAAGCTTTCTATCTCTACCTCTGCGGCACGTGGCTTTTTTTCTTTTTTTTTTATTTTTTTTTTTTTTGAAATATTGCATTTTGCATGAATCAATCAAAAGTTACAAAAATATCCAAGTATGCACCTATGATGTATAAAATTAAGATACATCATCTACAAGTATAGTAGAGAGCTCCCTATCTTCATCTATATGTATCAAAACAAAAGACCCTTCAAGGGCATGCTTAGCCAAAAATAAGCAGCCCTATTACAATCCCAAAAAATATGAGAAAACAAGACTTGTTTAAAGTTTAAAAGAAAAGCTAGACCCGATCTTCATGGTGTTGCCAAGTATCCTTTCTCAAGGTGGATCTCAAAAAGTTCATAACGTTGACAATGTCATTAACCTCGAACATCCAAGGGGCACAAAAATTGTGAAATGATTGGACAGCTTCAAGATCCACTTGGGCACTATCCCAATGCAACAAACTATGTCCCTCCGCAACAAGGCTTTTTTTCATTTCATCTCGAATAACAATGCCGGTCTCGGCTACCAAGGGCAGCAAAGCTCCATCAACGTTAGCTTTAAGCCAACTGGTAAGGGAGGATGCCATAATAGAGAAAAAAACAAAACCCCAAAGGGTGGCTAGCATCCCATTGGTCCCAAAACAGCAAAAATTGTGTTAACGTGAGTGCCTCGTGAAAAGATACCACAATAATCGTAGGCATTCCAAAGACTGATTGTGAACTTTGATGTTACGTGCCTTCCAACAATGATGAATAATATAGCAATAGCATCGAGCTTGGGCAAATTTACTTCTCGTAATTTTACTGAGCTCCTCGGTGGCCTCCTTGAAACTGCTAAAAGAGGGGATGGAGATACCTCATCTATACATAATATCTTTTACCCAGCAAAGAAGAAGGCAGTCAATAGAAATATGGTCTCTGCCCTCAATAGTTTGGCAGCCCCAATGGCATTTTGTTGCCTCCGAGAACCCCCTCCTAGCAAGCCAAGCTAGAGTAGGGATAGCATCATGCATAATTCTCCGCCAAAGAAACGCTCCCTGGATGCAAATGTAGTCAATCCAGGAGCCATTTAAAATTGGTTCCACTAAGGGGGAAGGTGGAACTCTACGCAAGACCAGTAATGGTCAGCCCTAAGTGCGTACGGGTTAGCTCAATGTTGTCTTCACTAAAATTCTGAAAAAATTTAACCCAGGCAATCCTGTTGGCCATATTGGTCCCAAAAAAAAACCTGCATCTTTTGCGCGTTCCAAACACTATTATTAATTAAATGAGAAATCATTTTTCCTTCCAGACCCGTGATATCAGCTAGGCAAGGCTGTAATAACCCATTTTGAGAAATTTGATAAAATTTTTGGCGACCTAAAATGTACCCCAAATTTCGCACCCCTCAGATTTAAACGAAGTTAATTTTATTAAATTTTAGTGTTAAATCGAACAAATGTGTATAGAATATGAGAAAAATAATTTTTATTTGTTAATTTTAGTTGCTTTCATTATCGGCTCTTTCATGTATTAATTGAATATTAAATTGTTAGTGTTAAAATTAAAATAACAGTGAAATGATTTTCATCGTCCGACCGTCCGATCGTCCGTTCCCGACTTGGTTAACTCCAAGCCCCGTCGTGACAAAATTGATATTGGAACAAAGGTTTTGATTAAATAATTTGAATTTTTAATGAAAGAGTCAATAGGATAATTGGATGAAGTTAAAATTAATATAAATTAAAATTTTAACTGAGTCAAATTAATATATATTGTTGTTATTTCAAAATTATGGATCATCTGAAGGAAGAGAATAGAGAAGAGAATTTAGAATTTGTTGTACCTCAGAATGTCGCAGTCAGTGCTAGTGCTTTCACTCATATGATGAATGTTATGACTCAGTTGATTAAGAATTCTCAATTTTAAGCTAGTAGCAGTGAAGGACCACCAATGGATAAGTATTTGAAGATCTTTCAAGATATGAGACTACCTTTGTTTTATGAGGCAGAAGGGCCAAAGGGAGTAGAAAATTGGCTATTGAGAGTGAAGAAAATCATAGATGGCATGTCTTGTCCACCGGAAAAGAGAGTTACCCTAGCCACTTTTGCTTTTGAAAGAAAAGCTGAAAGATGGTAGCAAGGAATGACGCAGGAGAATTTTGTAGGAAGAACTGGCCATTTGGTGCAGTGGGACGAGTTTGTGAAAACCTTCAGAGATTGGTTTGTACCATTGTCAACTAGAAGACAGATGCAAGATAATTTTATTAGGTTGGTATAATGGGATCAATCGGTTAACTAGGCCGGCCGGCAGGGCCAGGGGAGGTGGCCAGAAGGTCAGATGAGACAGTGGGAGGCCGAATTATAATTTACCTCCAATGGTTTGTCATGATGGAAGAGATTTTTCGTTAAGGCCCAAAAAAGGGCTAAGATGCCATAATTTAGGGAACCATTGGTCCATAGCTTACTTGGGTGGTTTGAGAGGGTTTAGCCTGATCCATAGGGTGTACTTGGTGGTTGTGGTATCATTAATTTGGTGGCTTAGGCATGGCTAAGTCAATTTTGGTGTATGGGTTCAATTTGGATCAAAATGACTAGAAGTTGGGTTTGGGTTAGGCTAGCCATGGCATTGAGCTCAATTGATTGATCAACATTGTGTAGATGATTGTCATGAAGATTTTTGATGAAAGATTGAAATGATTTTGAGTTCAATTGGAAGCACAATTTGAAGGATTTTGAGGTTTTGGTCAATTTGGAGCATGTTGGACTAGACTTGGGCTTAGATTGAGCTAAGCTGGGAATTTGGCTCAATTGAATGGTCCAAATGATCAAGGAAGATGTCATGAGGATTTTTCATGAAGGAATGGAGTGGAAATTAGGAATGGCATGAGGATTTTTCATGAAGGAATGGAGTGGAAATTTTGGGGTTAAGGCTTTCAATTTGGTGGGTTTGGAGACAACCAATTTGGGGCAAATTTGGAAATTTTGGACTTGGGTTAAAATTGAGTGAAATTGAGGCATGATGAAAGTCAATTAAAGGTCAAATTTGATGCGTAGGAGTGTTATAAAGACTTTAGGATCCAAATTGGGACAAATTGAGTAGGATATGAGGTTCAATTTCGTGAGATTATGTCATATGGCTAAGATTGGGGTTTTTTATTTGAATCAAAATTGAGCTCAAAGCATAGGTCAATTAGGCTTGGGTTTGGTTTGGATTGATCAAATGAAACAAAAATTGGGCCTTTAAAGGCAATTTGGGGGTTTTGGTCAAAATGATCAAATTGGCCAAATTGTGTTCAATTGGAGAGTCCAAATTGCTTTTTGGAGACAATTGAAGTGATTTTGGATGTTTTGGGAAAGTTTAGGGTGCCAAGGGTATTTTTGTAATTTTAACAGATTTAGGGGTATTTTGGTAATTTTGGAATCTTTGGGTGGATTTGGGCAATTTGAATATTTTGAAATGGTTTGAAATGATTTTTGAACAAATTTGGGTATTTTGGGTGAATTTGATATTTTGGGTGAATTTGAGGATCTGAATTTGAGGATCTTGACCAAATTTAGGGTTTCAATGACATTTAGGTAATTTGGGTGGATTTAAGGGGAAAAGACCAAATTGGACATTTTGGTGGAATTGGGGTACCAACCACCTTATATGAGCTATGGACCAATGAAGGACCAATGAAATACCAATGAAATTCCCATTTGGGTCCTCTATGTAGTGGTCTTAGCTAGACCCTAGCCTAGGGTCAGTGGGTCTAAGGGACCATCTACATGAGTCTCCCAAAGAATCAATGGATCAAAGTTAATAATTTTGGGTTTAAGGTTTGTGAGTGATTATGGATGATTGTGGGTGAAAGTGAGTGCAAGTGAGTGAACTAAATCCAAATCAACACCCAGAGTCAACCCTAAGGTCAAGCAGTCATATAGGGACCCTCCTTGAGATCCTCCATACTGACCCCACCTACTAAGTGCTAGAGGTTATGACCAATACGTGAAACTTCAAGTTGAGCAAAGAGGAGTTTAGAGTTTCTAATGGTGAGGGTTCCCTTTCTAGTTTTCAATGAATAATCAACAGGAAAGTTCTATGGCTAGATCCTAGACTAATAAAGAGGGAAAACTAAACCTCAACCAAAAGTGAGGTCAACAGGTTTGCATATAGTGTTCCAAGCAACATAATAGACAACAGGTTTCCTGGGGTCTTTAAGGCCAAAAGAACTGTCTACACCTTTCCAGCTCCTAAAGCTTAAGGTCAGATTCAAGGATAGATTTCTTGTTACTTAAGTTTCGCATTTTGTTCTTGCTCCAATAATCTAAAGCTCTAAGAGTTTTGGTACACTTCCTTCAAAGAATGTCAGAATAAGAGTCAATTCA